CATGTCTTCGGATCATCCTCCGGGATGTTTCCCAGACCGTCGCCAATAGCCCATTGTGCAGCTCTAGTGCGACGTAAATTAACAACAAACAAACAAATGTGTTTTTCTATATTTTAGAGGGTCCAACATATAGGAAATAATTTTTTTAAATAGGGAAAATGGCGAATAATGGGTAAAAACAGGAAAAATTCATTAAAATTGGTTTATTTCCATTGTTTTAAATTATTTATACAATACATTCGACAGTTTATAATACCTAAGGTGTTCTATGAGTAGAATCGTGCATCCTTCTTTGTTAAAGAACGCATAATGGAATAATAACAAAAAAAATATGAATAAAAAAATGGTGGGGTGGAGTTCGAATTTCGAAGCCATCTAACTCCCTTCAATATTTAGTTAAAATTTTCAAACTCGGTCCCTAAGTAGGGGTCTATGGTCCAAACATTTCTGCAGGAGGATATTTTTATATGTGAATTAGGAGGTGCAGGGGGGGCATCAAAATCCAATTGCATAGCTGACTGTGAGAGGACTTTTGAAGCGAAATTAAGGCCGGCTTCTCGTGTTTGAGTGGTATGGTAGTCAAGACACCGGACTAGTAACTGACGGCAGGGGCAAAGGTGCGCAGGTTCGTATCCCTGCATCAGCAACTTTTCAAAAAAATTTCTTTTTTTTTCTTCCGCTTATTTTACATTATATTATTTTTTCAATGAGTTTTTCTTTAACTTAGACTTTTCTTTAACTTTTTCTTTAACTTGTCCTACCTATAGGAAATAATTTTTTTAAATTGGGAAAATTTCGAATAACGGGAAGAAAAATTGGTTTATTTCCTGGAAAACCAATTTTCCAGTTTTTTCCCATTATTCGCTATTTTCCCAAATTAAGAAAAATTATATCCCATATGTAGAATCCTCTAAAATATAGAAAAACTCATTGAAAAAATAATATAATGCAAAATAAGCGGAAGAAGAAAAAAAAGAAATTTTTTTGAAAAGTTGCTGATGCAAGGATTTGAACCTGCGCACCTTCGCCCCGCCCTCAGTTATTAGCCCGGTGTCTTGACTACCATATCACTCGAACACGATAAGCCAGCCACAATTTCGCTTCAAAAGTCCTCTCACAGTCAGCTATGCAATTGAACTTTGAGGACCCCCTGCACCCCGTAATTCACATATAAAAATATCCTCCAGCAGAAATGTTTGGACCATAGACCCCTACTTATCGACCAATTTTGAAAATTATAACTAAATATTAAAGGGAGATAGATGGCTTTGAAATTCAAACTCCACCCAGCTATTTTTTTAATTTTTTTTATTTATATTCCATTATGTGTTCTTTAACAAAGAAAGATGCACGATTCTGCTCATAGAACACCTTAGGTATCATAAACTGTCGAATATATTGTAAAAATAATTTAAAACAATGGAAATAAACCAATTTTCCTGGATTTTTCCAGTTTTTTCCCGTTATTCACCGTTTTTCCAATTTAAAAAAATTATTTCCTATATGCAGGACCCTCTAAGTTACAGAAAAACTCATTGAAAAAATAATATAATGTAAAATAAGCGGAAGAAAAAAAAAAAGAAATTTTTTTTAAAAGTTGCTGATGCAGGGATTCGAACCTGCGCACTTTCGCCCCAGCCGTCAGTTACTAGACCGGCGTCTTGACAACCATACGACTCAAATACGAAAAGCCCGCCACTATTTCGCTTCAAAAGTCCTCTCACAATCAGCTATGCAATTGAATTTTGATGCCCCCCCTGCACCCCCTAATTCACATATAAAGATATCCTCCGGCTGAAATGTTTGGACCATAGACCCCTATTTAGGAACC